ACAATAAGTAATTATTTTTTAAATATGTTGCGATATGCTGAGTATCGCGATACAATATGGTGTGATATATCACAATTTAGTACCCTTTTTTTTTTTAACTGTAAATGATGACTCTAAAGAAACCTTTGTCATCATCTATTTTATCTGATGAGATAAAGTTTTCAGGCGGTTCATCTCACTTCAGCCATTTTTTTGCAGCAGCAGCAAAATGTATCTAATGGACTGAAAAAGAAATTGATTATATTATTCTAGTAGGCTACCTAATGTTTAATTTGTATTTGTCATACGTATAATTTATATAATTAAAAAAAAAATCAATACTTGGCACCATGTAACGATACGATATTGCCACACAAAAATATTGCGATACTATGCTGTATCAATTTTTTTTTCCCTCACCTCTAATATTGATACTATATCAACATCATGATATGAGAGTAAATACCAGTGGTCAACCCAACAATATTGTCACAATATCAGTATCATGGTATTTAGTCAAAAATATCGTGATATATGATTTTTCTCCATATTGCCCAACCTTACATAAAACACACAAACAAAACAAACCTCACAAAAGACGTCTTGGTTCGTCTTTCTACTGTTCCAACAATCACCAACTCTGGTGTGGTTGAAATAAACCATTCAGACAACAAGTGGTTGTGAAAATATGCTAGCTCTATATAAGCTAAAATTATTTATTATTTTAATAGAGTCTGGTGGGTTTGGCAATGGCGATTTCAAGGCTGTTTCTGGTTTAACAAAAAGGATCTTACTCTTTAACAAAAGGGTCTGTCTCTGAAGGGATCCTTTCCATAATGATGTCAAAGACTTTGAATAACAATCTGAGCCTGTCAGTGGCAAAAACAAGCACTTTTAGTGGACATAAATTGATGCCTCAAACATGCCCCGAGTGATAACATTGCAGCTTGTTTTGCCGCTGCCGCCTGCAGCTTGCAGCCCATTTGATCAATACTGGACCAATTTCAAAAAAATGTTGTTCCCATTAGTTGGGGTCCAGGTTGACAAATACCACTTACCCCTTTAAATGTCATCTACAACCATAAAAGTAAAAACAATTAATTTGCTGTATTTGGTGTTCAGTGCCAATCAGCAAATGCTAATGACGCTAAACTTGGATGGTTAACAGGTTTAACATTGGATCTGCTTTACACCAGCATTTTAGATTGGTCATTGTGAGAATGGAAGCATGTTGATGTTAGCATTTAGCTCAAAGCATCATTGTGAAGTACAGTGTGATGGAGCCGTTAGCATGTCTGTTGACTCAGTGTTGTTTTTAGTGTTCCTGCGCTGGCTATGAAGCTTTGTCTGTAACTGTTGCAGTAATAGTTGATCTTACTTTCTTTTTCTGTGAGCAGTGGGGGGGTGTTTCCAATTTCCTCTCTAAAACAAAGACGTGATTGTGTCAGTGTGCTTGATTTTGAGTTTAGCTTTAACTTCTAATCTCTTTTTGTGTATTTGCCTATTTGTACTATTGCATATAAACTGATCAAGGTTAAGATGCTACATACCCTAACCCTCCTTTCCCTGTGAACCCCAATGGCGTGAGAAGGTGCTGTTCTGATCATGTGGTGGCCTGGGTGGTGTGATGACAGTTTCGTCTTTATTTCTCATGTCTTCCTGGCTCCTCAGGCCCCAGCAGCAGGGCCGCAGGGTGAACAGGACGGCACAGGAAACTGGAGGGGGATGCTGAAGAAAGGAGAGGAAGCCCCCGGGTCAGGACCTGGAAGCCCCCTTAAAGGAGTCGTCAACCTGCTTGATGTGGTAATTGAACCTATCAGCATGCCCCTGTATGAAGATTACCCTGCTTTAAAGTGTATTACTGATAAAAACATTGTCTCCTTTTCTCCTCAAGCCTGTGCCAGTTGCCAGGAAGCTGTCGTCACGAGAGCAGCGGGACTGTGAGGTCATCGAACGCCTCATCAAGTCTTACTTCCTCATCGTTCGCAAGAATATCCAAGACAGGTAGGTAAGCTAGCTCCTCTTTGAAGGAGAAGTGTGGTGATTTTTTTAAATTTTTTTTTTGTTTTTTGTATTGAAAAGACCAAAACCAACAATGAATTGACACAACTGTGTAGTCAAAGCCTGAAGAAGGTTATTCCTCCTGATGCAAAGCAGAAAGAAACGCGGTGGTGGAATTGTGACAGCCAAATTCATGCCATTAACGTTTGAAAAGGAGTTTGTAATACCACATCAGACCACCAGATGGAGTACAGTATGATACAATCCAGGCTCCAGGAATGGAGATGGGCTTTAAAGTCAATTTGACATAGTGGTTGAACTGTGGAATTACAACTTCAGAGTCTGTCATATGATGTCATTGGTCCCAAAAAGACTTTTCCCATAGACTTACAGTGGGAAAAGGTAAATCAGTGGATACATTTTTTTTAATGCTACAACCCTCACACAATGACTTGTTTCACTGTTGGGATTTGTTCCATTTGGTTCAATAACATTTTTAAAGTCTATAAGAACCACACAGCAATAATTTTATCCCCATTCAAGTTACCAGAGGGCTAAATTGGAAGTTAGCAGCTCAGCTGGCAAAAGTCTCTAATGTTCCTGCTCTATGGGCCCAACAATGTAGAAGATCAGGGAAATTCATTTCCAGGGAAGTTGAACATTTGCTCCATGCGCAAATGAATGAAAAATGGCGTTGTCAGTAGGGTTTGAACAGGTTTGTATGCTTTTACCGCCAACACTGCAAAAGTGAAGTACAGAGTAATCACAAAGAGTCCACTGCAGAGTAGCCACCTTGTGGTAAAACATATTAATGAGGGCTCATTTAGACCTGTTGATAATGTTGATACTCTAATTTAGACTTTCTAGTTTTATTATTATTATATTGGGGCATAAAATGGTCTGAAAATGACAGTAATATAGTTTATTGCAATTCTTTCTAGGACAATATATCATCTACCAAAAGTAGATGAACCCGATGATTAACCCATGTTTCTTTATCATAAATCAGATAACATTACAGATAGCAACTTCATCATCAACAATCTCACCCTGTGATGACAGTGCCTCTGTTTTCATATCTGGCGAGAATTAGCTGGATGGATGTCTGCTGGTAGATTTCAGCCCAAACCTTTCTCACTGAACTGATTGTGCAGTTGTTATCATGCTGTTTTTCTTGGTTTGGCTTTCAAAACAAAACAAAGCTGCTGCAATAAATACTCACTGCAGCACCAAATGTGTATTAATCCCTGGCTGAAAATAGTCCCCAACAAAAGCAGACTTTACTCCTGACTGAGTAATGTTTGCTAAAAAGTGCAGTGCCAAGCTGCTGTGGTAATGCCAGTAGGAACCAACAGGCTTGGAGCCACAGAGACGATGTTATTAGTTGTAAACCTAAACCTAGCCCCACCATTACAAAACACACCTATTACCATTAACAGCCATCACTGGAAAAAATCTACGTGTACAAGCTGCTTTAATATAATCAATTCCTGTGTGTTGACCTAACTTGATCCACTTTTCCATCGTCGTAAAGTGCATTTTCTCCGTATTGTTGTCCTCTGGAGCTTAGTAGGGACACATTTATTTTATTTACCTCAGCTCACACTTCAGTAGCTCCATACTTGGTAAGGCACGGCCACCTGGTGGGTCAAAATCGAGCCCCACCATCTGGAGACAACACAATCACCAGGCCGTCTTACCTCTTTGTTCTCAACCATCTGTTCGCTCTGTTTCCTGTCTCCCTCGCAGTGTGCCCAAGGCAGTGATGCACTTCCTGGTCAACCATGTGAAGGACAGCCTCCAGAGTGAGCTCGTTGGCCAGCTGTATAAATCTGGCCTCCTCAACGATCTGCTGACTGAATCGGAGGACATGGCCCAGCGGCGCAAGGAGGCTGCCGACATGCTACAGGTAACAGACTCCCACCTTGCAGGGTCAAGTTCACCACAATGAATCGAGGTTCCTCTATCAAGCGTTTCATTGTTTATTTTTTGTCCACAGGCGTTGCAGAAAGCCAGCCAGGTGATTGCTGAGATCAGGGAAACACATCTGTGGTGAAAAATCAACAAAGGGAGCTGAACCTGATCAGTTATCTCCTCATCATGCCTGAAGGACCGACGCTCCACGCACTTATCATGTCCGAACATGACGTTTGGATTAGCAACCATGAAAATGCACTGTTCTGATCCCTGCTCAGTGTGGGTATCATATTAGCTCACAGGCTACCTGGAAGATATCTAAGTTAACCATTTATTTAAAATGCTTGGTGTTGTAGAGTACATGCACTGCCTCTGATAGCTAATGTAAGATTTTAGAAACTGCAGTTGCCACCCACGGCTCTGGGAGGAGAGTGCAGCCAAAGGCAAAGTACTCTTCATTTCTGACAGACTGTGGTTAACCAGTATGGAAATGGACTTTTGTGTGAAGTGGAAATGAAAGTTTTGATGCCATTTTGGCAGCTCCACAAAGCATTGTGCTAATGTTTTGGCTCCAGGTTATAAAAAAAAAAAAAAAAATCAAAAACATTATTCATCTCCTCATCTGCCACCGTTTGATTTAGGAGTAGCTGTCATGTGTCAGAAACCATGGAACCTCAGAAGTCATAGAGTAACAATGCAGTAGGGATCCTGACCTGCAAATGTTAGTCATCTCACCTGTGTACATACGGCACCACTTTACTTTTTGCACTGATGTCACCACACTGTACTGTATAGAAAGTCCATCACACTGCATTGCCATCAGAACCTTTATTTATTAATGTGTTATTTAAATGTGTGGATAATGTCGAGCACTATTGGTAAGTCATTTTATTATGTTTACATATCGCTGCCTACGTGTGAAATTTATGGTGCACTGTGGTTCTCTGTGTATGGTTCCCAGAAGAATAAATAGAGGTATTTTATTGCCAGTTAAATGATTTGGATTCATTTGCTTTTAAGTCGTTAAACTAATGAGTGTGGGGATGGTAGAAGTAAGATAAAAATATCCACTCATTTCAACCACAAAAACAGGCACAAAGAGCTCAAAAGCACAAGTGTTTTTTATTGTTTGTCTAAAACCAGCTGTTGCAGTGCAGTTTTATTGTTTAAGCGTACATTAATGTCGATACTGCTGCCCATTTTCAGACGCTTCCTTGGAGAACTCCTGCTGGTGTTTGCATCTATCTCAGCCTGCCCTTGCCCTTGCCTCTTCCTTTGGCACTGTGGAATCAAACAAAAATTATTTGTTATCATCTTACACTGTCTTAATTTAATTTTGAATGCCTTTGGTCTCCATACTATTTATATCTACGTTATTGCAGCACATTGGCTTTTTGTTAAGGGAAAAAAGAAAAAACATACCTATTTCCCTTTAAAGTAAGGTATTTGGAAAAGTAATGCAAATATACATTTTGATACCATTTTTTGAGGAGTACAGGTATGTTTTTCTACTAAATCCTTTTTTCGTTTAGCAGAAACTGAAACAAGGAGAGAGTGAACTTGAGACAAACACTGAAAGCGTCATGCTATTATAAGACAAAGCATACGGTTGCACACAGCTGACAGATGACGACTATGTCCTCCCAGCTGTGTACTTACCTTTGTTCTCTTTATGTACCTTTGCCTGTAACATCTAATATAGCCACAGTTTAACCTACCACATATTTGACTTGAAAAGCAGAGTGTACACTTTAACGAGGTGGTTATACACAGCCCTTGGCTTTCTGCCTTCAAAATGTTGACAAACAACTTTTGAAGACTGTTCAGTTTAATTTGTACTTAGTGTTACAGAAACCAGATTTAAAAAGTAGGAAAAAAAGCATTAGAATATTGACAGTAAAAACAGTACACTATGGGTAAGTAATGTTCATACTGCATACAAAAAACAGTGGAATTTCAAACGAGTTGATCTTTTCCGCGGATGTAGTATTAAAAGTTAATCATTCTAGTAACATCTCATACTATACTTTAATAAAACTTAACTGTCACATTTTAATATATAAAGACATACTATACTATGACATTTTTTTCCCACTTACGACACTGACATTTTTTACGACATACTATACTATACTGACTTAACACATACTATACTATGACTTTAACATTTTTTCCCCACATACTATTCTGACATTTTTTTCCACATACTATACTATGACATTTTTGTGCTGACATTTTTTTCACATACTCTACGATGGCTTTATCACATACTACACCATGACCTTTTTTCACGTACTATACGATGACATTTTTTACGACATACCACAAACTATATGATTACTTTTTTTCCTCATACTATACTTTTTTTTTAATCACAAACTGTACTGTCATTTTTATTAGTTTTTCAACATGCTATACTAAGACTATTTGATATACTACTTTTCTTAATTTACTATACTATGAATAACTTCGACACACTATACTATGACATTTTTATCAGTTATTTCAACATACCATACTATGTCGTTTTAAGGACCTTTTTCAATTTACTATACTATGACTATTTTTGACATACTATACTTTGTTGTTTTTGTCAGTTTTTTCAACATGCTATACTATGACTATTTTTGACATACTATACTATGTCGTTTTGATTACTTTTTTCAACATAGTATGCTATGAATATTTTTGACATGCTATACTATGACGTTTTTATCACATTTTTCAACATACTATTTTTGACATACTATACTATGACGGTTTCATCACTTTTTCAACATACAATACTATGTCGTTTTTATCACTTTTTTTCAACATACTATACTATGTCGTTTTTATCAATTTTTTCAACATGGTATGCTGAGTATTTTCAACATGCTATACTATGTTGTTTTATCACTCTTTTTCAACATACTATACTATGCCGTTTTTAATTACTTTTTTCACCATACTATACTACGACTATTTTCGACATGCTATACTATGTCGCTTTGATGACTCTTTTCAATTTACTATACCATGAATAATTTCGACACACTATACTATGACGTTTTTGTCACTTTTTTCAACATACTATACTATGTCATTTCAATCAATTTTTTCAACATAGTATGCTATGAATATTTTTGACATGCTATACTATGCCGTTTTTATCAGTTCTTTCAACATACTATACTATGTCGGTTTGATGACTTTTTAATTTACTACACTATGAATAATTTCAACACACTATACTATGACGTTTTTATCACTTTTGTCAACATACTATACTACGACTATTTTCGACATACTATATCGTTTTGATGACTCTTTTCAATTTACTATACCATGAATAATTTCGACACACTATACTATGACGTTTTTATCACTTTTTTCAACATACTATACTATGTCGTTTCAATCAATTTTTTCAACATAGTATGCTATGAATATTTTTGACATGCTATACTATGTTGTTTTTATCACTTTTTTCCCAACATACTATACTATGACTATTTTCGACATACTATACTATGACGGTTTCATCACTTTTTCAACATACTATCCTATGACTATTTTTGACATACTATACAATGACGGTTTCATCACTTTTTCAACATACAATACTATGTCGTTTTGATGACTCTTTTCAACATACTATATATACTGTGTCATTTTCATCAGTTTTTTCGACATGCTATACTATGCCGTTTTTGTAACTTTTTTCAACATACTATACTATGAATAATTTTGACATACTATGATGTTTTTATCACTTTTTTCAACATACTATACTATGTCGTTTTTAGCACTTTTTTGGCAGACTATACTATGTTGTTTCAATCTATTTTTTTTTTAACATAGTATGCTATGAATATTTTTGACATGCTATACTATGTCGTTTTTATCACTTTTTTCCAACATACTATACTATGACTATTTTTGACATACTATACTATGACGGTTTCATCACTTTTTCAACATACAATACTATGTCGTTTTTATGACTTTTTTCATCATAATATACTATGACTATTTTCGACATACCACACTATGTAGTTTAATTTTTTTCAAAATACTATACTATGAATAATTTCGACACACTATACTGTCGTTTTATCAGTTTTTTGGTATACTATACTATGTCGTTTCAATCAATTTTTTCAACATAGTATGCTGAGTATTTTTGACATGCTATACTATGACATTTTCATCACATACTGACATTTTCATCACATAGTATTCTGACTCTTTATGACATACTATACTCATTTTTTTTTTTTTTTTTACATACTATACTCTGACAATTTTTTCATATACTATATTACGACATTTTTATCACATACTACATTCTTTCCACATACTATATTATGACTTTTTTTTACCACATACTATACTATGACTTTTTTTTTTTTTTACCACATACTATACTGACAGTTTTTTCACATAGTATACTATGACTTTTTTATCACATACTATACTATGAATTTTATTTTATTTTTTCGTGGTTGTGCTGCTGCCGTGGTCCTGCCTGATGCCTCCTACTGCTGCTGTTATTATTAGTCATACTTTCACTGTTATTATACACACGATACAGGATTATTGTCACATACATATACTATCATAATATGATAGTATTATTACAGCTATTGTGGTACACTATGTTGTAAGTTTATATTAACATAAACGTACAACATATTGTACCACAATAGCTGTAATTATTATCATATTATTATTACTTAAATTAAGGCTGTTGTAAGCTACTGTCATTACTGTCTGTCCTGTCCTCCCTGTCTCTCTTTATGTCTCATTTTGTCATATGGAATACTGTAAATTTATTATGTTGATCTGTTCTGTATGCCATGTATTGCACATCTGTCTGTCCTGGGTTTTTTGGGGGGAGTTTTTCCTTATCCGCTGTGAGGGTCCAGAGGACAGAGGGATGTCGTATCCTGTTAAGCCCTCTGAGGCAAATTGTGATTTGTGATATTGGGCTTTATAAATAAAATTGAATGAATGAATTGACTATGACATGTTTTTCCATGTACTATACTATGACTTTGTGTCACATACTATGACATTTTTTTCACAAACTATATGATGACATTTGTTTGATATACTACACTATGACTTTCTTTTATCACATACTATACAATGACATTTTTTCACAATGACTTTTATTACCACATACTATACTATGACATTTCTATAACATAAATACTATGACATTTTTTATAATTACATACTATACTATGACATTTTTTCCCCACATACTATACTAAGACTTTTATGACACATAAACTATGACATGTTTTAATACGTAGTATACTATGACTTTTTTATTCCATACTATACTATGGCTTTTTTCATGACTATTACATTTTTTTGCTTAGTATACCATAATATATCTTGACTTTTTTTTTTTTATGACAAATCATATTTTATGACAAACCATATTACATATTTCATGACATACTATGACTCTTTTTAATATACCATGATTTATTTCTTCATGTACTATACTAAAACTTTTAATTACCTACTGAGTTTATACATACTATACTGTGACATATTTTATTACATACCAATTAGTTTTTTTTTTAATTAAATACTATACTATGTCATTTTATGACATTCAATACTATGACTTTTTATCACACACTATACTATGGCTTTTTTTTTTACTACATATTGTATATTATATTACATACTATACTATGACTTTTTTATTGTATACTAAAATAGGACACATTTTGGTATATACTATCCTGTGACATTTTATGACATACTATTATATGACCTTTTAGTACATACTATACTGTGAATTATTTTGTGACATGACTTTCTTATTAAATTGTATACTATGACACATTCTAATATATATTATAGTATGACATATTTTATGACAAGCTATACTATGACATTTTATGATATACTATACTATAAGTGTTTTTAAGCCACACTATACTATGACACATTTTATTACATACTATACTATAGGGCTGGGCGGTATACCGGTTTGTACCGAAAACCGGTATTTATTTTCGTTATGATATGAAGTTTTCATATCCCGCAATACCGGTGAATAGCCCAAACAACGTCTGGAACGTGTGCGGCGGGAAGGTGTTTCAGCAGGGACCCATTTCACCGCTGCACACCACAGGCACGCTTGAGTGGGCGAGAGTGAGAGCATATAGAAACGTTTAGAGGCAAGAATGGCTGCCGGAGAGAGTCCTGAAAGTGAAACAACTGTACACGATGACCCAGAAGAACTCATACCAAAAAGAGCAGTGTTTCCCCTATATGCAACTAGCAGCAGCGCACCGCCATTTACAATTCTCCTCTGCTCTCTGTATCGCGCACGGCGGAGTTTCGCCCCGATGTGTGCGCGCACACACACACACACACACACACACACACACACACAGACAAAGCGCACACACACAGGTGAGCACACTAGAGCATGGCTTGGGCCGCATTTTCCTGACCAAAGACAACCCATCCCGAGTCCGAAACAGTTATAACCGAGCACAGCACTAATGGAGCGGAGCGTGTGTTGCGTTCAGGCGTTGTCAGGTAAATAACAAATTCCGGCACTTGAATAGGCCATAGCACAACACAGCAGCATGTCAAGTTGGCCAAACCTGAGCAAAATACCGTGAAACCGGTATGATTTTTTCTTAAAACCGCAATATGAACATTTTGTCATACCGCCCAGCCCTACTATTCTATGACTATTATACATAATTTATTTTGACATATTTTATTAGATACTACATAGTCTCGCTCACCAGACCTTTCTCAAGAAAAGAAAGGTCTGGCTGCACCGACTCTCACTTTAAGATTGGAGAAAAAAAACGCCCCGGCTTTTTTTTATTTCTTTCTACCAATCACAATCGTTCTTGGCAGTGCCACAGCAACGGTGCGCTTGCAAAAATATTGCCGGGGGAAACAGGTTTTGGTGTAACACGCCCACAAAAATATCGGCTACAGGATGCGAACCATGGCAGAAAAATGGCTACACCCCCGCAAGATCAAACACCACAAAAGTTAGTAAAGGACGTTTGTTGACTATGAGAATCGGAGATGGTAGGGTGGGACTTCAGTGGGTGGCTCGTTCCGCCCAATGAGAGGCTGATCTATGCAGCGAACTTCCGCCCACTCAGACTAGATACTACACTATGACCTTTTATTGCATACTTTACTATGCCGTTTTTATCACATACTATACTATGACTTTTTATATGATGTACTATACTATGATGTATTATTGTTTGTAATTAAATATAACTTTTTTAGAATATATTATGCCATAACATAACTAAGGATAGACCGATACATCGGCCGGCCGATATATTGGGCCGATATTTGAGTTTTTTACTTGTATCGGCATCGGCTGATACGCGTGTGGGTTAGCGGATTTATTTTTCCCTGGCACTTTTTTTCATTTGAAAGTATGTGGTTAAGTTGAACAAAGCTGTTGAATCATACTGTGTACAGTAGTTGTTGTTTTATTTATGCTTCAGCTTAAATATTTGTTTATTTTATAAAGACATTACTGGAAGATTTAAGAGCACTGAACTCTTTTTTTTATTTGAATGTATAATAATAATAATAATAATAATATTCTACCTGCTCTACCTCAACTTTCCATCTTGTTTTAGTATTTTTTACTGTTCAATAAATGTTGAGACCTGTAATATTTGTTATCATTGTGTCATTTTTTTATGTAAATTGAGGGAGCAAAAGTAGTATCGGCCCCAAATATCGGCTCAAGAAAATCGGCAGTCCATAATCGGTCATCGGCTAAGGGTGATGAAAAAAAATCGGTATCGGCATCGGCCCTAAAAAATCCATATCGGTCTATCCCTAAACATAACATAGTATAACATGACTTTTTTATTACATACTATACTAATAATACTAAAACTAATCTACAGTGATGTATGTCATGGCATATAACATGACATATTGGCCATATTATGACTTTGAATGGCATACAGTAACATTTCTATGACATACTTTAATATGATTTTTCTTATGACACCTGTATACTTACTGTATATTTTTTAGACATTTTAATGGCATACTTTGTCATGACATCTTGAGTGGAATTCTTTATGGCATACTTTTAATTTAATATTTTTTTACTGCATGTTTTGTGAAATATTAAACTTTGACGGTATGGTATCTGATTCTAAAACATATTTTATGGCATACCATAGTATGACTTTTAGGACTTTTTGATGGCATACTATACTATGACATTTTTTATGGCATACTATGCTATGGTAAAGCAAACAATTAAATATCACAGTCTATATATTACTTATTTGCAGCCACAGGAAGTTTAGAAAAACTGAAGTCGTAGATCAAGTCAGATGAAGTGAGGTCAAAAGACCTTGTTGTAGAAGAAATATCATGGCACATGAAAACCCTCAACATTTCCTGGGACTCTCTGAATAAAGACCAAAACCACCCCGATACTACATCAGTAGCTTCCAAGAAACAAAAGATACTCTCAGTACCAATATGGGCTGAGACTATGTTTCAGAGGTGGCTCCTACTTACCTCTGCTGGTCCTGAATGCGAGTCTGGAGCTGATTGATCTGTGGGGGGACAAACATGGAGGACTGGCTAAGCACAGAAACAACAGCAAACACACAGGCGAACACCAGTTTAGCCAAAGAGCGGACCACGTGGTCCTAAAGAAGAGCTTCGCAGAGCGAGATATGTTCACCTGACATCCAAAGAATTTCATCTGCAGAGGGGGACTCACCTCCAGTCTTTCTGACTGAGCTGATCATTAAACTGAGTAGCTGTCGTAACAGAGTACCTGACTTTTGGGACTTCTATGGCTGTACTAAACAACCACATGGCAGCTTCTTGCAGGCTTCATGAACATACTACTTGTTTCACCTTCTGTTGGTGACTCAGTCACTTAGTGGTCGCCCAGCTTTGTTCCTGCGTCACTGTCCGAGGCTTGGTTTGTGGCCCTTCAACACACCGACAGCAAAACTACACAACAACCAAGAGGCTCACACTCCTCATTAACAGTTACTCACAACTTCTGCTGCTCATTGATTCGGGTCTGGAGTACATTGATCTGGAAGTCAAGCCACATTCATTTTAGAGAGGCGCCATCAGGACAGCCTTGCACAGTACATACCGGTTCAGCTTTCGTATTCTGTGGCTTTTTCAGGGCTGTGGGCTCAGTATCATCAATTTGCAATGTTTGTCATCATCATTTTATCCCATGCTCTACATTACCACTGTATAGAAAATCAGGATAAGTAGTAAAAATATCATAGATAGTCTTTGGCTTTTAAGCCACACCAAAGCATTTCTATTTAAGAAAGACATAATTACAACCTTAAATTCCATTTTTTCATAAGCAAAGACCTCCAAGGAATATTAAGACATTTGCTGAAATATATTAACTTTCTTGCCAACTTTCTTGAAAATTTATACCACTCTCATGTCAGTGCGGATAATATGTAGCTGGTGCCAGAGGCAGGTTAGTTTAGTAGGGGAAACAACTAGCCTAGCTTTAATCAAAGGTAACAAAGCTAAGCTGAGCTAAGCTAACTGGTTGCAGCTTCTGGTTTTGTAAACAGACATGAGAGTTTTATCAATCACCACATCTAACTTTCTAAAAAAGCTTATATATTAAAATGTCAAATTAATCCCTTTAAAAACCATTACTTTCTTAACCAGATTGCTTTGTAACAACACTGTTTCTATAAAAGTAGGTAAGGTATTCTAGCAATTGACACACGGACACCCCGAGGCAAAGTACTTACATCATATTTCTGTCTCTTCAGTTTCTCACTGAGGTCAAACTTCTCAGCCTCCAGTGTCATCAGCCACTGCCACAGCTCACTGGCCTTCTCCCTGTGAAGCAAAAACCAGGAGTACCTGAGAAACAGGAAGCTAAAAGGCCATATCAAAACTGTAAAACTCTATGATACAAAAAATGGGAAGTTGATGAGAGTTTTATTCACAAACAAATCATCTGCATCAGACCGTAAATGTGGATATTAGCCTGACTACAGGACTGTGAACAATGACTGCGAGTAAAAACAAAGTATCCTTACTTGACTTTGTCCTCACTAAGATGGTCGATGTTGAGAGGCTTCCTCCTTTCTGCCAGGATCTTCTTTTTCTTCTCTCTCTCTGTCTGCTTCTTCGCTCCCTTCTTTCCATCTTGCTGGATGGGGAGAATCAATCCAAGTGGATGTGTTGACAGAATACCAAAAAAAGAAGAAAAATATCAAAGAGGCCACAAAGTCTGATTCTCTGATTCTATTTCCTATTATTTCAAGTGCAAACACGCACACTGTATTCATGGTCATGGTAAGAGTCTTTGTCTTCTCTCATTTATCTCAGCGACAGTATCTGTGTATCTGTGTGTGGGTGACTGACCCTCTGTTGGACACCACCATACTGCTGAGTCATGTTTGTCAGAGCCTTCTTCTTCTTGGCGTCCTCATCCTGCTTCTTACGTGCCTCCTCCAGCTCCTTCCTCTCCTTTTCTTCCTGTGGAACAGATTGCACATGATGGTTATAGGAGTAAGAAACAGTTTGGAGCTGAGCAGATAGTGTGCACTATACAGTGAGTTTTTCACTTAAAATATCCGCCTGTCACACCCTGACAACAATGCTGTGACAGTGACGAAAAACTAAAACAATGAACTAAAATATACTATAAAGATCAGTAGAGCTGATGGGAGCTGCAGAGACGGGTGATCAGTCTCTGGAGGTTCATCATTATGAGTGACTGCTCTCACATTGCACATGGTCATCGGATCCATTGTTATTTTAAAAGTGTTGATTATAGTAGCTTCAAAGATTAATATAATGCAGGTTTATTTGCAACATATAGAAAAGAGTCCCCTATAGGCAAAGACTTCAAGTTATCAAATCCTACATCATCAAATCAAAAGCTGCACAAGGCAATTTTATCATATGACATCAGTACACTGCATGAATTACATTCACACTGTAAAGCACCAAACCTGTCAAAGCAGAAGTAGAAAAGCTCAGGAAAAGATTAAAGGAGACTTACTAGGCTTTTCCTTATTTTCTGTTAAATATATAATGTTACAGTGTCAGATGTTTATATTAGATGTGGCCAAAGTTTTAGTAATGAGAGAAACGTCTGTAGAAATAATCTGTGTGAGCAAAGACCTCAGGCTTCAGAGCGTTCTGAATTTCCAACATTTTTCTCTACATTCGAGAGAAGCTGACATCGGCTCATGACAGATTTCTTTATATGGTCATCTGCTCCAGGCACATTACTGTAAGTGCTTCCATGACATACACTGCTACATGTACCAACATGCTAATGTCAGGGAAACATGTAGCTTGGTTGCAGATATTCATCATTTCTCCACGATTTGGGATCATTTTTCTACTGGAACATGTCCGGTTGTGTTTAGAAGCTTTTATTGGTGATTTTTCATGGTAAAGAGTGGCACTTTTCTCTGTTACTGTCATTCCTCAGCTGCGAGTAAACTGCCAACATACATGTAGCTAAATGCTAACATCAGGGAGACATGAAATCTTTTGGTAGATGATTTCTCCCTGATTTCATATCATATTCCTGCTGGAACATTTCCGTGTAAAGATTTTGGTTTATTTTATTTTCAAAGTAGAAAGAGCCACTGTACGCCGTTCCAGTCTTTTCCCTGCTGCAAGCACACTGTTACATGTAGCTACATGCTAACTTCAGGGAAACCTGTAATCTTGGTTGCTGATGTTGTTTGTTTCTCCCTATTTTTGGATCATATTCCTGCTGGAACATTTTCATGTGAAGATTTTTGTTTACTTATTTTATTGGGGATTTTTCAAAGTAGAAAGTGCCACCATACTCAGTCACAGTCATTCCCTGGCACGGAAACACTGACCAATCAGAGAAAACTGGGCTTTTTTGGAAGGAAGGCTTTAAGAGACAGGTGCTAAATGGAGTGTGAATACAGGCGTTCAAACACAGACAGTATGAGAAAAAAAAGTGTTTTTTTTAACCATAAAGCATGTAAACATGTTCTAGTACAAACTCAAAATACAAATATGAACCTGAAAATGAGCACAATAGGGATGTATTAAGGAAAGAGTGTCCTGTTGTTTATGAGTTAATATTCTTTGGAGAAGATTCCCCACCAGGATACACACATGCCCGACTCCCTAAATGTATTTAGAAAACAAGGTGACACTACAGAGTGTCACTTATTTGTTATACAGTCGGACAATCTTGATTAATTATATGTAGGGTCATGTCCTTAACAAGATAAAATGACAATTAGAAGGGACTCACAGCAACTCGAGCCTGTCTCAACCTCTCCTGCTCAGCACGGATCCTCTGCTGTTCATCCCTCTCAGCACGACGCTTCTCCTGCTCATCCATGCCAACACACACACACACACACACACACACACACACACACACACACACACACACACACACACACACACACACAAACACTCTCAGTGTAATTGTTTTCTGGGTGGTGCATCACTCCAGTGATCTGGCATGCTTTCCTGGAAGACTTACGATCCTGTTAACGAGAGCGATGAGCTCCTCCTCATCCTTCTTCCTCTGAATGAAGTGGGCCTCGATCAGAGACTGCAGCTCTGTCAGATCCTTCTCCTGACGCTTCCTGTGGATGTCCTGCAGTTACAGAAACACAATGTTTGTATTGACACACTTATCAGGACCTTAAGTGACTGCATTTTCACTGAGCAAAAGTCATAGTATTGACCCTGAACTACTATAACAGACTTTTGGTCCTTATAATCTAGACTCCAAATCACAGGAACCAAATGTCTGCATTCTAGATGAACTCAAACATTCATGCACACAGACACTCTTGCAAATGCACATTCATTATACAGACAAATTATTACAAGTGATGTGTCTTTGGAAACAATCACTTACATCAAAGTCGACTTTGTCTCCCTCTGGTATCTTTGGCACAGCTATAGCTGGAGCAAATGCCCTAAAAGAGCATATCTGGGTTAGAATATGCAAAGCTTTAAATGACCTATTAATCACTAGTTGGTTGATGTGCACAGATTAAACTTCACAAAAGACTTACTTTGGTTTGGGTTTGGAGTCATCTGTTACAATAAAAAAAGGGATAATTACAGTTACTATAGCGGCCATTTATTGTTTTGGAATAGTTCATCCCTAAATCAAAAACATATTTTCCTCTTACTTGTAGTGCTATTCATTAATGTATCAGCTGTAGAGATGTCTGTCTTCTCTCCAATATAATGGAACAAGATGGCACTCGGCTTGTGGTGGCAAAAAATCTGTTTGAAAAACTCAACAGCAATGTCTCTTTCCAGACCTTGCTGTGAGCAGTTTCATGTAGGAACTATTTTCTTTCTACTGTAATACACCTGCCAACCGTATCACCGGGCAGAAATAAGTGTGCATCTACTCATGGATGAGATGCTCCTGCTTGAGATGTAAACAATAACAGCATCCTCCTCAGCTAAGCTTTAACATTAGCTAGCTTAGTGGTGCTAGGTGAGCAAGCAGTAAATTCACGCTTCCTTCTGCACAGTAATACAACTGGCAGGTGTGGTTCAGTAGAAAGAAAATAGCTCCCACATAAAACTGCACAACAAAGTCTGTGGATTATCTTGAGTAACCACATCATGATTTCAGTTGATACATCGCACTACAGGTAAGAGGAAAAACAAAATGTATTTTTGATTTTGGGGTGAACTGTCCCTTTAAGTTACTGTCATTAGTTTTTCTGTTTAACTTAAAGTATAAATCTTATGTAAACGACATGTTTGCAGTTTAAAATTCACAACTGACGTGTCAAACAGTTCGATCTTCAGTAGATAAAATAACAGTGCGTACACACATAACACACTCTGACAAACATGCATTAATACTAGACCAAGAATCTTGCTGAATGCTGTTCATACCACTAAGTCAATATTCTGACATACAATGGCCTTTTGTTAGAAAACCACTGTTATATGAAAAAAATTATATGAATTATATGAACTGTCTGTATCCACTTTATGCATGACATCCAATAAAGTAAAATGAGCAGCATGTGTGAAATTAATACCACTCAATATCGATGTGGGTTTCTTCATATTCCCCCAAACGCTGCATTCAAACAACATATCTTTTAGTTTGGTAGTCAGCATGCACAAGAGGTCTCATCAGTATACCTTCATCTGCAACTGGAGATTCTGCGGCAAAGGACACAAGGCCAAGTTAGTGCTTCAGGTAGCAGAATACAAATAAATTCACTTTAGTTTTTGCAAACACCAATTCACTAAGGTCAGGTATCTATTTCATATATTTTGAAATGTCAGGAGGACAAACACTGAGTCTAAACAGTTTCTGTATTCCTGGGCATACTGAGTTGGTGTAAATACTCTCGGGGTTTCAAGCCACAGAAGCTTAGTTTACTTTCAGACAGTGGAGGCAGTTCTTTTGTAAAGGTGTGTTATCAAAATAAATATCATGCCATGAGGTACAATACTGCACTACATGCGAATTCATCCGTAACAGGGAATTGAAAAGATTGAAAGTTACAATGACTACTTCCTACAAATATCTCAGCACTAAGGTCTTGTCATGGTCTTACCCCCTGTCAAACATGGTGGGATGCACACAGGAGAATGATATAGTGTTATTTAGCCACACCATGCATACAAGTCTGAGCAGAGAGACGAGGCTTTACCTTCTTCTGCAGGCTCTTTGTGAGCAATGTGAACAGGCAGTTGATGAGTGGCAGTGATCATAATCAAAGAAACAGAGAATAGTTAATCAGTAAATGCGCATTACATGATTAATGACATAACAAATGTTACCTAGGAGAACAATTCAGCCAAACCAGATGTCATATTTCAAAACAAATAATTATGCCTCTTTGCACCTTTGTATAGTAGAGGTCCAAGTCATTGCTTTTTAAGTCTCAAGTAAGTCCCAAGTCTTTGCACTCAAGTGCCAAACTTTGAATTTGAAGTCCCACACAAGTTATAATGTTCTCTTCACCAAATATAATGCCATTTTAACAATGGAGTAATAACAATTAGCACTACTAAGCATAAGCTCGCAAACTATGGTACAATCAGCCTCGACTTACCATTCTTTGTGCAACTCAAACAAAGCTGAAAGTTATTGTGTCTCCGTGTGCAATTTTCTTGCAGACTTGTGTGTGTTGCATACTGCTATTTGTTTTTTGTTGACCACCATGTAGTTTTTGTAAGTGAACAAAATTATCTTTGGTATCATTTCTTCCAACTGGCTTTCCAATTATGTAGCATAGGCCCTTCATGGTTCTCTCCTGCAATGTGATTAGATGCTGTCAGATTGGCTCAAACAGTGTGCAACATCTGGGGAATTCAGCGTTGACTTGCTGGGAATTAACAGTATTATAATGAGTTGATTCAGGAAATAAACTGGCAGACTTTTTAATCTTCGGGCTTGGAGGGATGGAATAAAGTCAAAAGGCTAAAATCCAAACAAAGTCCCAAGTCACTAGTGTTAAAGTCCAGCTCGAGTTACTAGTCTTTTTTAATTTTAATTTTATTTTTTTTTTTTTAAGTTGAGTATAGAGTCATTAAATTTGTGCCTCGAGTCTGACCATGTGATATGACTCAAGTCCACACCTCTGATGTATACAATATATTTGTCTGAGCTGGTCCACTGTAAATGTAAGCCATACAAAGATGATTATTATAATAGAATTTAACAGTAAAACAGAAAAAGTCATTACCTTCTGCCGTGGGAGTTGCTAAAGTGGTGTGAAATAATGAAAATATGATTAGATGTGTCACATTGTCATGCAGCAATATGTTTACAATTATCCAGGGGCATTATATTCAATAAGTTTTCTTTGCGATCATAAAATAATTAAGTCATGCAGTGTGTGTGATAAGATAAGAAATTAATGAGATGTTCTGACATTTTAGAAACATTACATGAAACGCTTCAGATGTTTAAACCTCTAAAATGTCAATATTCTGTCAGTAAATACATGGAGAGCTACGATCTCGACAATAATCACTGCTCAGCTTTACTTAGATGTAAATGGAGATGATGGCACAATTTTCACAATTTTGGAATGAATTCATCAAATACTAACTCGGCACACAGCTCCCTGACAGCCATGCTAATATTGATATAGGTAAACAAATGGTGCAGAAGAAAATGAGAGATGAACAAAAGAAATGTGCAGGAAAAGAACATGAGTTTTTGCCGAGATAGTGTGTTAATAATATAAAATGGGTATGCATGTAATATTTAGGATGGTACAAGCAATGTAATGAGCAGTGCTACACAGAAAACTATCATATTATCAAGTGAAACATTCAATCTTACCTTTTGTTTCTATATAAATATTACTATGTTATTTAAAAATACAGATGGAATTATAAAGGCACATGAAAATATGTAAAGAGGAGAATTACCTTCTGCTTCTGGTGCAGCAACTTCAACTTCGACTTTTTTTTTAAACAAGAACAGAAAAGGAATTATTGATGCCACTTTCTGTTATTGTTGGCCAAATAACATGACAAAAGAAGACATGGCACCACAAACACACTGCACTACAATAATACGCCAGAAGCGTCTGAGTGAAGAAATATTTTTTGACAGAAAAAAGTCATACAAATCTTCATTTTCCAGTGTCTCCATGACTGAGTGAACAAAATATGGATTAGTGGATCAATGAGACTTTGGTAAATAGCTTGAGGCAGGGATTCAGTAAAACTCTGAGCACTGTGATACTGTCTCTTGGGATGCACTGAAACCAATGCCAGTGTCTGACTTTGTGACCAAAGCTAAAATAATCTGGGATCACAAACTGAGCCTGTGAGCTGTTTGCAACGTGTCAGAAATCAAAGCAAAGTTTCAGCACACAGCAGAACAACTGGGACAAGATAATGATCATAGCTGCTCACTTCGTGTCATTTAAATGATTTTTAGCCAATGCTAATGAGAGGTGGAAGAAGTATATTGATCTTTGACTCAAGAAAAAATAAAAAATAAACTTAAAGTATTTCACTGCAGGAGAGCTTGTCTTTTCATAAAACTGGGTTGTTTATGCAGTAGAAAAATGCAAATACTTTAAAAATTGGTGTTATATGATCAGAGAAGAAAGGCTGTGGCATTCGCTTTTGTTCAAGAGGTAAAAAAACCTACAACTACCACAACGCACTCCGTTGCACTGGACCAATGAACGCTACCGCTGGCAGATGTGTGGTAATGCGAGCTTGGCTGTTTTTCCACAGTAAACAATATGGCGGCCAGCTAGTAACACAGGATCTTAAATTACAGTTAAACAGTAAGTTAATTATGGTTTTGGAAACATTAAGGTGAGAAATAGCAACGTTACATTTTACTGTTTGATCTCAGTATTTTCAGCCTCCATTTTTAAAGTACAGGAAACAGTATCCACTTCTTGGTTAAAATTCTCGTATTACAGCCAAACAGCGCACTTAAGTATGTTTCTGAAGACATTTAAGGCAAAGAATAGACAATTGAGTAAAAGAGTCTTGGTTAATACTTGATCAGCATGGCTTAGTTTTATTGTTTGATCTATGTTAAACAAAGAGAAAGAGGGTTGAAAATTGTCACATACTTTACATAAATTTTGGGGTCCTTGTACAGTACTTCTATTTCACTATGTCTCAGAAGAAAATATTGTACTTTTTACTACACTTCATCTATTTGATAACTTAAGTTACTTTGCAGATTCAGATTATCAATACAATATATAATCAGCTGGTAAATAATGATGTATTATTGTAGATTAAACTACCCAGAAGTATATAAAGTCATGAAAATGAGCTCCACCTTTACCAGCTGCAACATTACAGTGTTGAACACATTAATGTAACGGTAATTATAATCCATTAACATAATACACATTCATCTGAAAAGGGCTATTCTGCATAACGACTACTTTTACTTTTGGTAATTTTAAATCTATGTTGATACAAATATTTTGTACTTTCACTCTAGTAAAGTCTGAATGCAGGACTTTAACTTGTAATGAGGCGCTCCTACTTTTAACTGAAGCATCTGAGTACTTCTTCCACCTCTAACTCCTTTACATGAAAATATTACAGTGCTCGTTTTACCACAAAAACATGAATGAAATGCAACATATATGTATTTCATATATACACACAGGTTGATCAGGGTGAGTCAAACTGTAGTTGGCAGCCACTTATGAAAACCTTTCATGCAAACTGTCAGACAGTGATTATATGGATATATCAAACACTGCAGTGGTAAACATGGGACAGAACAACAAACAAAAAAAGCTACGGTTATACATGAAGCTGACAAAGCTGTGTCAACCCATTCTTATTACCAGGGTGTCAAATACAGCAGCCTGGTTAGTGGCCCTCGGCTTCTGTTACTGACGCACACAGCAACCTACAGTGCATGTATGAGATGATTCGAGCGAGCGTTCATTAAACGTATGTAAATGTAATCCTGCATGGAGCAATAATGTAGTACAAAAGAGCCACAAAGTCAGAGTAGGGCAGGAGGGAGTGGTGATCGATGGGTCAAAAACACACACGACTTTCACCTAGGAGACCACTGTTTGTGTCCCATATGACACCAGGCTTCAATTTGAGTATTTTAAACCATAGTTCCTGGTGTACTTCACGTGAAAAAGTGGTCAAGTGACACACACACAAACCAGGATTGTTTTTCTAAACCTACCCACTTATCAGTTTGATTATAATACATATAATACATACTTGATGCTATTAAAAGGGAGGCTGACGTCATGACTGACAGCTACGTGTGCCAGCTAGTGTGCTTGCAATTAATGATGCTCCTTGCAATTGGGTTGGATGAAGGAAACTTGATATGGAGATACGCAGAGGTGCGACGCAGACTCTGTGTCCAAAAAACGTCACCAGTGCAGGATGGCAGTGGCTGTGTCTGGGATATTTTGGCTTCATTTTTTACAGTGGGAGGAAGTGGAGACATGTTGTCCATCTGATTATATAGTGATTGGTTGGGAGTGAGAATGTGTTGACAGTGTTGATAAATTAAGTGGTAACATTCAAACAGAAAACACACGCACACTGGAAAAGCCAACTAATTCCCTACATTTCCACGGAAAACCTGTCTGCCCCCATCAAAAATCAAACCACAGAATCCAACAGTTTGGCCACCACTTATTAACTCCTTGAAGTCCAGACTGTTGATACTTACCGCAAACACACACACGACACCATCACAATATATCTTAGACTGATGAACTTGATGGCCTCCCACACCTTCAAAGTAACTACCATGTCTGATGTCATAAACTGTTTTGCTTTCTGTCTTATTGTCTACACATTCTGACATGTTCAACAATGTTTAACTTTATTTTTTGTTATATTGCACCAATAATAAAGAAAAAAAGAAAAGAAACCCAGCCAACTTGCTGTGGCTTTTATCACTGACAGCAACAGACAAGAAGATACACACATGAAGCCATGCAGAAGCCTTTACCTTCCTCTTGCTGGGTTTCTCCCTCTGAGCAGACATAATAAGGTCAGCTACATCTTGCAACTGAAGCTTGAAAGTGACATTTTGCTTTGAAAAACACAGTGAGTGCTCTCAAACCCTTACTTACCATCCTCCCTGAAAAAAAAGGAAGTGAAAATGTGAACTTTTGGAGCAAATCGACTGAATATCAGCTCAGATCTGTCTGTTGATTTAACTTAAAACTCTAGAGATGCTACTAAAATTCAATGAAGGTACTCACAGCATCTCTTCAACCACTTCTTCCTCATCGGCCATCTTGGATTCCAATTACCTGCATCAAAGCAGACAATGCATCAAAACATCAAGAGGCGCCACTTCAATTCACGTCTCAGAAGACACAATGCATTTTTAATAAATTTCCTTGTTTTGAGATAATAAAGGAGTTTTAATGCAGCTGCGAACTAACACACACATAACCAAATCAATTCTCTTGGGCTCAATATAATTAGGGCTGTTATATTTGGTTTTCTTGCTGTGATTTGTATTGTTGTTTGTCTTCTTGATATTTTCCTCTCTGTCTTATCAACTGTAATGTTTTTACAAGCCCTTGAGGTATCTTTTCCTCGGACAGATGGTTTGTATCTCTCTGCTTTTCTTCTTCTTTCAGTGCTTTTATCATTTATGCAAACAACTAAACCAAAACATACAACAACAACAAAAAAAAAACCTTGGCTACATGCTGAGAGATTGGAGCAATTGTAGAGTTTGAAATGATTCCACCATGGGCACTGAAAGCAGAGGCGCAGGGCTTTAAACAGCTCCAGGCCTAATCCTCAGCCATTTCCTCTTGGCAGTGATCAAGGCTGCAGGCAGCCGACTGGAGTCTGAACAGCACTGAAACTACCAGGACTACAAGAGTCCTTAAGGGACCGATTCACGCATCTGAAGCTTTGCATATCATATTGGCTCAGATATGGACACTCATAAACAATTTTCCAGGTGCTCTAAGGGCTTTCAAGTGGTACGCTGCAAGAAATGTCCATCATAACAAGTGTTATTCAGTCTAATATTCATACCAGCCTATTCTTCTTTAAAAAGCAAAACAATTCTATTTGATTGCAGTTTCATAAGTCCTCTGGACGTAAATCTATTTAAAGGAAATTCCACCAATTTTACACATGAGGATCACTTTACTTGTCCTGAGGAGTTCTACTCAACCTCTGATACAGTTGTATAATGTCCTCTGTGGCTCTGGAGGAGCTTTCTGAAGTCGAGAAAATAACTCTGATGACATCTAATAAAAGAACATACTGATCTGCACTATGGGAAATGCGGTAACCAGGGATTTTGAAGCTTGAACCATGGTAGGAACTAAAAGTCAGGATGTCTTTGCCTCTACTACTCTTTCTTTGACCAGTCTCAACACTGTGGGAAATTGGCACTGCTTGCGCTCAAGAAATCAGTCAGCAAATAAACCCCTGTAAAACCACACTTGGCCTTTTTATGCTTCAATTTTTGCATGGATTTAACAAACAAGATGCAAAATATGTGCAGTGCTAAGTCACTGGAGAACTCCTTAAATATCAGAGTGACACATAAATAAAGAAAATACTCAAAGTTCATATGCATTACACACAGTATCTTTCTGAGCATAACTCCTGATCTTTATTTATAAAAAAGCAGACACCTGATTTAAAAACTACAATCACTGCGCCACAGTTGTATGCCTCTGCCAACCAGTCAACGAGCAGTTACATTTCATATCCATGTTTGTCTCAACTCATATGTAGCCATGACAGTTGACAATGCTTCAAATATGAATGTTGCTGAAAAGAAGCTACAGATCTTAAAACATGAATGCTTCACATCCATTTCACATCATTTTACATCCACTATACAATCAGCACAGTTCCAAGGTGGACATCCAAGATTAGCGTCAACAATTAAGTATCTGACCAGACGTCTCCCCTTCTGCTCCTGAGATACGACGTTAAATAATGGCCAGAAAAGTTTTTATGCAGAACATTACGATGTCACAGTGAAGCTGACCTCTGACCTTTTGGGTTATAAAATGTCATCACTTCATCATTTTATTCTGTTAGACATTTGTGTGAAGTTTTGACACAATTAGTGTGACTTCTTGAGTTATGGCCAAAAACATGTATTCTGGCATCAAAGTGACTTTGAACACTAAAATCTAATCAGTTTATTCTTTAGTCCAAGTGGACGTTTGTGCCAAATTTGAGGACATTTCCTTAAAGGTTTCCTGAGATATCATGTTCACAAGAATTCGACAGATGTGAAGTTAACGTGACCTTGACCTTTGACCACCAAAATCTACTGAGTTCAATTTTGAGTTCATTCCCTCAGGGAATTCTTGAAATACCATGTACACGTGAATGGGACAGACGGACAACTTGGGACATAATGCCTCTGGGCACAGCTTTCACTGGCATGCAGGCATAAAAAGCAAGAATACTAGGTCAAGGTTACAGGGATGAATTCAATAAGGCTCTGGTATCTTAAGTCCCCTATATATAAATATACTGTGTGTGTGTATATATATATATATATATATATATATATATATATCAGTTTACATGTCAGAACAACCCCTGGACCCTGTTTTTTTTCCAGGGGCTTATAAATCACCAGATCATAAAAACTGGTGTCAGTAGGCTGAACAGTAGGGGAGAGTGAGGGTCTATTTTTAAGAATAATAAAGTGTGCTTTAGAACAGGTGTGGAGCTACTCCTCCAGACAATGGGTTTGGCTCACCTCACCATACTCACAGTAAATCAATGGGCTGGGACCCACAGTCAGACGGGCTATTTTTGTTGTTGCGGTTTGGTCAGCTGCTGGTTGGGGAACATTTTTTAGAACAATGTGTCTCAGGAGTCTGTCTTGCTTCTTATACATATTCCTCATTATAAAAAACAAGCTTATTACACATTTTTTGTTAATACCAGTGTCTTACTTGATATACATGCTGAATAGGTGATGTAGGGACGAAAAAAATTAGCTCCACATCCCCAGTTTCACCCTCCCTCCTCTTTGGCTGCTGTTCTGTTCTTTCTTTCCAAGTCTTTTCAAAGGGCCAGCTGCGAATTCAATCTCTGCATGCCATATTTACACCTTCACTGTATACGGTTACTATCCAAAGTCACGCCTCTGTTTAAATTCTGCTACATATGTGCTCAAGTTCAAACACTATGGTGCCTGTAATCCCTGTGTGGTTGTTAGTTGTGTCATCAGACTGAGCAGCTGACGTCAAAAGGACGAGGAAAGAGAATGTGAAGAGGAGAAAGTGGAGAAAAAGACAGAATAGGAGAAATAGAAGAATACCATCTGGCTGAAGAAAAGCACAGACTGGAAACCCAGAGAGAAATCACAGTGTACGAGGGCTGTCATGGCTGGGGTATTAAACGTGTATTTGCTTTAATGCATGCGGTCAGTCCCCGTCTGGCTGGAACTGTGAAATAACACACAGTCTGACAGCAGCAGGAATGTTGCGGGCGCTGGTTTGGGCATTAGACAGCATTAAGTCAAAGCCCCAAAGCATGCTACCAACACGGCAGTCTCAGAGGCGAGCTTAGCACCTTCTTCACCAGCATATGCACTGCTCAGATCAAAACACATCAAAGAAATGCCATCATAAAATCTTTAAGAGTGGCTTGAGCCAATTTAATTCAGCATTCATGACTTTGCATGACTAACAGCTAGTTGTTAGATCATGTTGAGGAGATTTATGTATTTCAGTCAGCAGAAATCACTTCAGTTTTTGTCAAATTTATTACGATTTCAGTTTCATTAAAAACTGCAAAATATGAACTGTACATTACCGCCTATTCAAATACAGTTTAACATTTTTATTGACCTTTTTGCTATCGTGCACCCAGAGGTCATGCTCAGATCTTACCTCCTGTATATCCCTGAGGAAGAGATGGGATTAACAGCAAATTCAAGTCTGATTCTCTCACATCCAGACAGAGACAAGTTCAATCATCCTCCCCCCAACCAAAAAGCACACTTAATACAGCCCTGTCCATCATGTGACCACATATCTCATGTGTGACTGGTTCATGCTGTCAGTTCTATTGTTGGAGGCAGATGATGAGTTACACCTTGAGAGGAATGCTGCCTTCAAGTGCACCTCATAACCTGCTTCATTCAAGGCCACAAATTGAAAAAAAAAACAACTTGTTCCACCTCAAAGTATTAGGATTTGGCTGGAGATAAAAGACATCTTCTCCAGTATTTATTTTTCATTGTTATTGTTTCTTTTAAGAACCAACAGCACAGAACTGCTTTGTGCTCAAGTCTGAGTATGTACAGTAGAAAAGGCATGCAATATAGTTTTGAAACATTAACAAATGCTGGCTTTTCACCTTCAGTCTTCAACCACACCTTGATTATAGCACAGTTCTTCATTCAAGATGACACTGCTCATATTTACAATATTTCTGACAGCACCTGAAGGCAGCAGAGGATTTCACAATGACTAAGCCCTTTGTCTGTCCTTTAACACCTAAGCTTGAAAATACATGACATGTTATGAGCTACAAGAGCTGCAACTGGCTCTTGTTATGGATTAATCTATTATTTTCCTTGTTGTTTAAGTTTAAGTTTATTCACTTTATTAATCCCCCTGAGGGGAAATTCAATGTTTTCACTCTTGCTTGTCAAGTGGAGAGATCTCAGAGTGAGGGGGCTGCCCTTTGGTCAGGCGCCCCGAGCAGTTGGGGGGCTCGGTGCCTTGCTCAAGGGCACATCGGCAGTGCCCAGGAGGTGAACTGGCACCTCTCCAGCTACCAGTCCACGCTCCATATTTTGGTCCAAACGGGGACTCGAACAGGCGACCCTCCGGTTCCCAACCCAAGTCCCTATGGACTGAGCTACTGCTACTTGAATGATTGTTATATTAGTTTGTACAATACCAGAAAAATGACCAACTCTCCAAAGCCATGGGGATGTAATCAAATCACATTTGTCCAACCAGAAGTTCAAAACCCAAAGATGCCCAATTTACAACTACATAATACAGAGAAAAGGCAGCACATTCTCACAGAAGCTGAAAGCAGTGAAATTCAAAATTTGCTCAAAAAAATGACTTCAATGAATTATCAAATTTGTAGTAGTGGTAGTGATGGAGTTATGTTCTGTCAATCCACTGTATGGAGCCTCAATACTGATATAAGAGTACAGTATTTTAGTAAAACGTTGTCAGAACAATCTGTGGGGATGCCCACATCTCCCAGCATGCTGGACTGAGTAGTTTGTAGTTTGCTGTTTTCTGTAATACAAACGCTGCTTTTTGTTATTGTCTATGGTGTGTCTGCTTAAAGCATGATGGTTTATGCTAGTTATTGTCATTTGTGTGTTAATTTATAGTGCTATTCCACTTTATGTCTCCAGCTGTATTTTCGCACTAGCTTTTTTAGTCTGATAATCCTCTTTTACATGTCAATAAAGGTACACAATGAGCAAAACTACATCTTGACCTCTGTGAAGCGAAAGTTGTCACAAATCATATCTATCACTGGACACATCAATAGATAATGTAAGTTACTAAGTTACTTACACACAGTGTATAAAATGATATATACAATTTATTTACCATCCAATCAGTTGCTTACCAACAACCAAAATGTTTTTTTTCCCATCCAAACACTTCCACCAAACAAATTTGGCCAACACAAAGTTAGCTAGTTAAAGTTAACGTACAGGGGCGTTTTAAATTGGCAAGAAAATGGTGGGGACGAACTACACCTGACAGTAGCAAAACCAGCCAGGTATGTCACAGTTTGACATGACGTTATTTCACATTTCCCACAAACAGGTATTATCCTAATAGGTACATACCTGTTCTCCCCTGTTACAGTGCTCATTTCCTCGTTTGTATGAGCTGTCATTTTGTTCTTGAACAGGAACCATCTTCTCTGAAGAACACACGGGAAGGAAAACGTCTCCTCAAGCTAGCTAGCAGTTAGCGGTTAGCCATTTCCTCCTAGCGAACCACCTCACGTTAAAACGGCATTATTTTCTTTAACCAGCGGTTTGGTTTATAACAATACTCCGAGTCCAGTGGGCACCGAGGGGTTTTATCCCAAATTCTGTACAAAAAGGCAGGCTTTTTCATTCGTGCTGTAGAAGATAATCCACATTGTTCATGGCATAGTTACCAAACTCTTCACTTTTGACAACTACCACAAATGACAGCCAATCAAATTGCAGCCGGGTAAAACAATCAGCCGCACGTGCAACTTGTGCCCGCCCCTGCAAGACTTTGGGCATGCGCACTGGTGTCTATCCCCCACACGCACTTGACATAGGAAGTGCGTAGCGGCCTCCTCGGCCAAGCATACATAGTAAAAACACCATTGAAAAACTACTCAGACACTGACAATAATTAGTAGTTAATATAATAATAAGAGCAACATCAGTCCATAATTTTATTCACTTTTTAAATTTCTCTACCAAACCATTCGTTTTTCTGCTGCCAGCAGGTGATGCTTCACCAGTGTGTTTAGCATGGAGTTTAGCCATCAGTGCTTTCAGTTAAAGGTCCAGTGTGTAGGATTTAGGGGGGCATATTAACAGATATAGAATACAATATCCATAGCTATATGTGTTACCTTAGAACAGGGGTGTCCAATCTTTGAGGATAATGTGAAAATACCTGTGGGCCAGCTGCTTTTTGCATCATATGGGTTATTTAAAAAAAATCACAAACAAATGACACAAACACAGCTGTCATCTTTAAGTGAAGACATATTCAACTTTCCACGACTCCTGAAAGCAGCGGCTCTCCTTGTCTACGTTTCTTTGCTGTGATTGTGTTTGCTATCTAGTAGGAAATTAACCTGGAAATCCAGATGCCCCACCCCTAGCAAATTTGAATTTGCACTGCATGGGAATCTGGCCCTGACAAGCAGAGCCTGCTGAATCGCCAAGATCAGTCTATCTGATAGAGGTGGGCTCTGCGCCATAGGAGTCGAAAAGTAAACAGCAAAGATGGCAGCTGCCGAAGGACCGTGTCCATTCAATTTAGCGTTGGAAGAAACGCTAAGCCAACTACACTTATCTTTTTCCTTGAGAGAGGAACAGAGGACTGCCCTAGAAGCCTTTGTTTCCAGGAAGGACGTTTTTACTGTTTTGCTGACAAGATATGGCAAAAGCATAATATATGTTAGCCCCACTGTTCGGCAAACAAATGGGGCTTACTGCAATGAATACGTCACCTTGTTTTTTTTGCTACAACCTGTACGATCATCTGGCAGTCGTGAGGTGAATGGATGAAAAACTGCTAAATGATCTTTCTTGATAAGCCAATATTGTGTTAGTCATATAGTATATTTTGAAAGACAAGCCGAAGGCCGATTAAAATTGGTCTGCGGACCATAATTGATCTCTGGGCCAGACTTTGGACACGTCTGCCTTAGCATGAGCCGTTAATATTCACATAGGGAGCAGGTCCTCTTCCACAGAGTCTACCATGTTGTTTCTACAGTAGCCTAGAACGGACAAACCAAACAATGGATCTAGATTGGGTGATTCATGTTTTTTGTGTTTTCGCACCAACCCACCATAGCTCTCCTGTAGCTCTCCAAGACACTTTGTACACAGGATAAGTTTCAGCCAGTTGCAATCTACAACCTCACCACTAGGTGTCACTAAATCCTACACACTAGCCTTGAAATAAAATGGTAAAAACTCGAATGACTGGTGGTGAAGAAAAACAGTGTCATGCTATATTTTTCAGCAACTGACTGGAGATAGAGGAAAATTATAAAGCTTATTTGATAACCCTTTACCACATTTTGTCAGTATCATGGCTCAGTAATAAGACAACTGTTTCAACAACCTGTGCTACAGTGGGTATAAACACAATATAATGTGGTCCATAGTGGAGCAGTTATGAAATGAAACATAACAATGTGGAATACCTCAATGTCTTTATTGCTGTTGTTGAGTGAAGCGTACAATGTTTAAAACATTCATCCAGTTGGTAACTGCCCACTTGTATGACATTGGGAGTGTTTACAGAGGCTACAGATAGTGTGTTTTGCATAGGCTTTGCGCTACACAAACAAGTGTCTGGTTAAACATGAAAGAAATTTAAAAACCATAAAATGGACACAACAAGTTGTAGAAAAAAAAAAAACAATACGGCATTATGAAATCACTGTATTAAAAAAAAACATAAATGTCACATTAAATCACGCTTAAAAATATTTTGGTCAAGCTCCCCTGCTCTTTTCAGGAGGCATGGAATGTGATTGTCAGACTTTTTGAGCAGTAACATGGATCAATTTAATGCCCCGGCAAATTAATATAATCAAAGCTTGTGCCGCGCAAACACTATGAGAGGGAATGTGCTACTTAAGACCATGTCAGTGAAAAATAAACATGAAAAATCACAAGACTTAATATCATACTGAGTTGCTGTGAGGCTATCATGTACTGTACCTCAGCTGTCATAAATGTTTTCATTGCAATCATAAGGCCAGAAGACTTAACATAGTGGTAAATATCCTTGTACTGTACGAGTATCTTGCTATATGCGTAGGCACCCTGATTTTACTTTATATGCCCTCAATTAGAAAACAATCGCTGAGCGTAAGAGTGTGCATAGAGGCAATAAAGAAGTTAGTAGAAGTTAAGGTAGATTTTAAGAAAACTGGTTTGCAAACTTCCTACATTGTAAAAACTACAGCTTTTAAGCAGCAAAGGCACCTTGTGCACCTGCTTTTTAGGAGGAATGTTTGAAGATTTTAAAGTGATCAAACAGGTACAAAAGCTACAAAAACAGCTGGAAATAGAAAAAGACAAAAACACATTAAAACATAAATTAAATGACATAAAGGATAATAAAAGTCATAATGGCCTTCTGAATATTCAAACTCCTATCACCACCGAAATTAACTGCCTGTTGGTGAACAGTTGATGGATACAAAAAAAAAAGCAAAAATACTTTTTGTTATGAGTATAAAGATGTTATATAAGATACAGTATGATAGGTCATATTCAAAAACATCACATGTGCTAACATATATTACTCAGACCATTGCTGCACTATTGGTAAGACATAATAAAAGTGAAATCAGCTAAATTCTAGAAGTGCTTATATTTCTATCCTGAACTGGTGAACGTTGAATAAAATAGCAATGTGTGAAGCTTTTGCTTTAAATATAAATAAAAAAGAGATGGAAAATGTACTGTATGAGGGAGAGAACTGATTTCACCCATCTCTTTGGAATGTGGAAACTTTTACCTCATCTACTCCGTCTCTATCAAAACAGTCGGCAGGGAGTACAACAGATAAATCTAAATTTAATTATTTTTTTACTTCCTGGCAGGATTGTAAAAGTAATTAGTAATATTAATTACAAATGTCCTAATTTCACAGCATTTTGTTTCTTTTAGAAAGCAAAAATTATTGTGCAAAGGCACTTTACGTGGCGACCGTACAAAAATAAGATGCTGTTTCGGTACAGTGCTCGGACAGCGTCTTTCCTGTCCCTCGGTTCTCTTCGGGGTCCCTCTTGGGAATGTGGTCATTATTTGGTTCTTAAGACAAAGTCAAAGGAAGAGTCTTGGATTGTCGTGGTCCCCAGCTTTAGTGGCTCCTTCAAGACATTAATGTCCCATACCTGGAGAGAGACGCAAAACAAGTACATCAGCGGCTTAAACATGAGTCTGCAGACAGGTGTGGGTTAATAACTCTGATTCAAACTAGGCAACAAACACCACATGCTGGAAACAAACAGTTTAAAGCTGGGATGGGCAGTTTAATTTTTGCATCATTGGGTAAACATCCCATGATAAACTTTAAGCATCTTGTAATTCAAGTGGTCTATGAGAAAACTAAACTTCTGCACCTCCTCTTGGCTCTGTTTTAAGGCTTCAGAAAAGTTTGGCTGTGACGGGACACTTTGGCCAATCACATTTTGTTTTTTAGGGAGAGGGCATTCCTATCAGCTGTTACACAAATGCGGATGTGCATGCACCTCCCCTTGGTAAACGCCCGATCCAATGGTGGAGAATCCTGAAGAGAAGGTTGTTCAAGCATTCGCAACAACTGCTTACACTGCAAAGCAATCCAAAAACAGGATGACGAACTCAAAAAGCGAGTCTAAAATGGAGTCTGACAATAAACAAAGTGAAACAAGTATCAATATCGTCAAGGTGTTTAAGAGATGGAGATAAAATGTTGCCAATAGTTTAGCCTTCTGCTAACCGGAGCCAAATTTATGTAGCTTATGGAGCTTCTGATCACAGTGTGTCCTCCACCTCACTCCTCGCTGGGAGGAAAGCAGGCAGCAGCTCTGGAGACAGACCCTTGGTCAGTGGCCACAGCAACCCAAACCAGCTGGCGTAAACCCTGACTCCGATTAACTGGACAGTCCAAACTCCCTGCCAAATTAGCAAACTTTCTGTTGCTGCCATTACAAAGGTTATGAGCCAGCGCTGCCACTGACCACCAGCTTGGTCCTGGGGGGTTTGTGCTGGCCAAATTCAGGCAAGGTCCGTTTCCTGCTCTCCTCCCAGGGAAGCAGTCCACAGTAGCAGGGAGTGAGGCAGAGGGAACATGGCATGGCTACCCAGCTACTTCTTGTCTCAATTGTGGTCTGATAAACACAGATAGTGAATGTGCTGCGTTCAACTTTAAAATGAAATAAGATTAAATAAACCAATGTATGGGAAACATTGGGTTACTGTATGAAGTGTGCATATGCCCATTGTCGTCTGGTGGGAGAGGTTTAGGACAGAGAGGAGAAAGTTGCAGGAGAAGGGTGTATTTTCAAATTCTGTCTTTTTTTGCCTTCACCAGGTTTCTGCCTACCCTTGCTTTAAAAAGGTCATTTGATGCTTGCTTTAAGAACTTCACTGAATCAAACTTCAGAAAAAAGACCCTCATCTCCTCTCTGTTACATTTCTTTTAAAACAAGGAATCAAAATAATTTTACCGCTTTTGTTTCTGGGTCAAAATTGTTAAAAAATGTTACTCCTTTAAGAAGAAAACAACTTCGAGAGGGATATTTTGGGGGTGTTTGCTTGATTGACAGATCTACTAGACTGTGTTAGTTGCTGCTTGCTTGCCCCACTTTAGTTTCACCCAGACTCCACTCAAAACTTGCTCAAACTTAGATTTGCTGG